TACATTAATATCAATGTTAAAGAATCTCGACTATTTAATAACCAATGAATATGTGAAATAATATTTTGATCCATGGTTTACATCAATTTGGTAATAATTTCGAAATTACAATTTTTATTTTATGCAGCGGTGATTTATTGAAATTTGATTAGTCATCATCAGAATCGAAAATGGTTGGAAAATCGAAAAACTACTTCACATTATTAATGCTGTTGATTTAGTTTGCTTTTAAAATAATTTAAGGACATTAAGAAATTTCAATTATCCTGATTTATAGGAAACTTACTAAAACCCTATATTATAGCAGTGTTCTAACCCTTTCCGAAAGAATAAGTTATTTATATGATATAAATCAAGATCTTACAAGGAATTTGTTGTTTTTTCCAAATATACAAGTCATATTTGTTCAAAAAGTATCTAAAATCGCATTTTTATCTGCTTTATCCTTTTTTTTTTCGGGCAATAACTTCTTTATATCATATGAACAAACTGAAGCAACATATTTATCTTATACAAAATTTGCTTCTCTTTCTAATGAGGAGCAACAGAAAAGTACATCGTATGTTTGTTCAAGTATTACTTGCAAAAAAGATATTAAAATGCCACGTTTTCGTGGTGTATTAAGCCTATTCAGAATTATAACAGCTTTATATGATGCGAACAAATTAAAATAGCATATAGATGTTATAAGAATTTGTTTATTCTTTGAAATGAAGTATAAAGAGAAATCGTTTGCACAAGCTTTATTTGTCCAAAAACTCCTAAAATCGTTTATATGATGTGCACAAATTGAAGAAATATGTCAATCATATAAGAATTTCTTCACTCTCTCATGATGATAAGAGAAGTCCATCACAAGTTTGTACAAGCTTTAAATGTTGCTTTAAAAACTTCTAAAATGGTGTTTTTACCTGATTTAACCTTTCTTCGAGCTATAACTTCTTTATATGACACAACCAAACTGAGAGGACATATAGAAAATTTTCTGTTCTTTCCAAAAAAGTATAATAGAAGTCGATCACATGTTTGCACATGCTTAATTTGTCCAAAATCTATTAAAATCTTCTTTTGGCCGGCTTTAACCAATTATTGGGCAACAAACTCTCTATATGATAAAATAAAACGCCAGCAATACATACGTTTTCTATAATATGTTCTGCTCTTTAAAATAACATATAATAGAAGTCAATCGCAGGTTTGTACAAGCATTAATTGCCAAAAAATGTAAGAATCGCATATTTTCGCGTTGCTTTCAACAATTTTTGGGCAATAACTTCTTTATATGATACGAACTATCTAAGAAATCATATAAATCTTATAGGAAATCTGTTCTTTCCAACGATGTATAATACAAGCAAATCACATGTATGCACAAGCTTCATTTGGCCAAAAACTGCTAAAATCGTTTTTTGACAGGCTTTAATCAATTCTAGGGCAACAACTTCTTTATATGACAAAGATAAAACTCCAGCAATACATACATTGTGTACAAAATTTTCTGCTTTTTACAATAACATATAATAAAAGTCAATCACATGTTTGCACAAGCATTAATTGCCAAAATATATCAAACTCGCCCATTTTCGCGTTGCTTTAACCATTTTTAAGACAATAACTTCTTTATATGACACAACCTAACTGAGGGAACATATAAATCTTATAGAAAATGTTCTGTTTTTTCCAACGATGTATCATAGAAGTCGATCAAGTGTTTGCACTAGCTTCATTTGGCCAAAAACTGCTAAAATCGTCTTTTGACAGGCTTTAATCAATTCTAGGGCGACAATTCTTTTATATGATAAGATAAAACTCCAGCAACACATTACATTTTGTATAAAATTCTCTACTTTTTACAATAGAAGTCAATCGCATGTTTGCACAACCATTAATTGCCAAAATATATCAAAATCGCATATTTTCGCGTTGCTTTAACAATGTTTAGAACAATAACTTCTTTATATGACACAACCTAACTGAGAGAACATATCAATCTTATAGAAAATTTTCTGATCTCTCCAACGATGTATCATAGAAGTCGATCAAATGTTTGGACAAGCTTTATTTGTCCAAAATCTACTAAAATCGTCTTTTGGCCGGCTTTAACCAATTCTTGGACAACAATTTCTTTATATGATAAGATAAAACTCCAGCAATACATACATTGTGTATAAAATTTTCTGCTTTTTACAATAACATATAATAGAAGTCAATCGCACGTTTTCACAAGCATAAATTGCCAAAATGAATGAAAATCTCATATTCTCGCGTTGCTTTAACCATTTTTTGAACAATAACATCTTTATATGATACGAACTAACTAAGAGATCATATAAATCTTATAGGAAATTTTCTGTTCTTTCCACCGATGTATAATAGAAGCAAATCACAAGTTTGCACAAGCTTCATATGGCCAAAATCAACAACTTCTTTATGTAACAAGATAAAATTCCAAGAATACATACATTTTGTATGAAATTTTCTGCTCTTTACAACAATATATAATAGAAGTCGAGCACATGTTTGAACAAGCTTTATTTGTTAAAAACCTATTAAAATCGTCTTTTGGCCGGCTTTAACCAATTTTAGAGCAACAACTAAACCCAGCAACTCTATATCACATTCTGTCCAAACTCTTTATTTATCGATACTTGGCTATATAGACAGAGAAGAAAACAAAATTTTTCGTGAGTTATTCTCAATTCTGATTTATAATACTTGATATTAATAGTAACATAAAAAAAGTTTCACGAAAACGTTTCACTTTCTCCACTGCAAGGATGTTACGTGAAGTGGATGGCAATCAGATAATAGCGCAGTATTCCACTTTGCTTCTCACGAATACTTGATAGAGTGTTTTGATTGAGGTTAGCGTAGGTATAGTAGCAACTGTTCAACCTTCACGTCATGCGCAGAAAGTTTGTTTACATGGTTCAAATCAAAATCAAAAATATATTTAGTGTAGGTCAAAATGGTTTTTTATAAATTTTTCGAGATAGAACTAATTTGCATATTCGACAAGATAAATCGATATTTATTATCATCCCACCAGTAGCGATTCGGTAGCAGGAAAAACATGTAACCGGGTTGTGTTGAATTCTTTCAATACTGTAGAGAGACCGGATGCTTGGGTGTCAACGTGAGTCACCTAAAGATAGAAGATAGCTTCCGGCGCTAAGGTCGCAGCCAGCGTCCAGGATCTATCCGTCGATGACAACATCAGACAGCGACGACAATGATCAACGGACGGAATAAAGAGAGAAAGAGGAGAGAGAAGATGAAGGGCTTAGAGACGTAGAAGAACAAAAGTAGAGGACGACCGTGACGACAACAACGACGACGACAACTGTGCCGAGAGTTCGCTGGCTACCGTTCGTTCTTCGGCCGGGCAGCACAAACGAGCCGGACGGAAGAAGAGGGAAGGGGCGAGAAGAAAAAGAGAGAGAGAAAGATGAAGCGCGTCGTGGGCCGCGCGCGTCCCGTGGAAGGAACTGCCGCGGAGGAAGGAAGAGGAGGAGAGGCGGCCGGTCGACGGCTTGTTTGGTCTCTTCTCGGCGGCGGCGGCGGCCAATTCGCCGCAAGAGTTATGTCTGGGTCGGCGAACGTTTTCACGTCGATTAATACGAGAAACGGACCGGCAGCGCAACAGCAGCAGGACGGACGCGCGGGCGGACCGCCGACGCCGCCGCGCTCTGCTTCCCCAAATACCCACCAACAGAGAAAGAAGACAGCAACGACCAAAGATGTCAAGCTTTCACGCGCTAAACTTAAAATAGACCGGAAATTAACACTAAATCCAAAAACAGTCTCATCACTTTTATTTTTTTAAATACCTTAATACCCAGGAGGAAAGTTCTACTGAAATGAAAACGGATGTGTGGTAAGATTACATTGGCATTGGTAAACATGTGAATCTTAAATAGGTGAATTCCAAGTGGTACAATAGACGATGACATCCAATTCACCAGGACTGACTCACTTTCCCTCTCTTTTTCTCCACAGTCGGTTGTCATCGTCGTCTTAGGACCGTATACGAACGAGGACCAATTAACAATCACTTTATCATCGGCTTATTGAAATATAGCGGGCGCGACGTCGGCGGTTATTCAACTTGTACCTTCGACCTATGCAACTGCAGAACGCCGCCGTCGCCTCCGTCATCATGTCACCGTGCGGCGACGATTGAATTGCGCGCCGTCGACGGGGAACTGGTTGTGCAAATTAATTTCGGACCCCGTGTGGCCCCGAAGCGCCTACGGTACCGCTCCTCCTACTCCACTTCCTCACCTAACAAAACCACAATTTCTCCAACTCAAGATATCCTTCAAACAAAATTTTTCATCAAAAATAAAATTTTAAACTCGTTAATCAGACAACAATATAGAGAGATAGAGTAGGATTTAGTCAATGTACTTTAACTTTAAGAACTCCTTTAATGTATAAATCATAGTATCTTTATCTTAATGGTAGATGGAAAATGTTTTAGCAACGTAGCCAGATTTTAACTAGCGATAAATTATTTATGCGCTGTTAAAACAAACGTTATCGTAGTGTGATTTGCAACTTGCAGACAAAAACGGCGGCGGCGGTGGTAGCGGTAAAGTTTTGCACTATCCATAAATGGAGATGGTTAAGTATTACGCGTCGTCGTTGGAGAAGAAGGCGTGCCAGGATCGGCTTGAATCCTTAGCGCCGCCGTCGGTCGGTAGCAAGAGAAGTGGTCTAGTTCCGACGTAACTAAGACCGCCGGAGTGGCCGGAAGTGGCCGGATAAGTGACCCGACCCGCCTCCCCTTGACGGCTTGCTCGCGCTGCTACCGACCGTAAGTGAAGTGAGTGAGGCTAATAAGCACCGGCGCGCGGTTTAGTCGATAACGTAGGGAGCGCCGCCTCGCGATGCACGCGACGCACCTAAACACTACAACGAAGAAGGCAGCTATTTACAAACCGACTCGCGTGGTATTTAATAAATTCTCGTTCCTTCAAATTAAGTATTTAACTTACCATTGACACTGGTATGGGTCCAGCCGCTCCATTGGCGTAGGTGTAAGGTGATACGAGGTATCCCATATTGAACGAGGATGTATGGGGACCCGGTTCCACTTTACCTAAAACAATAAAATCAAGGTCATTTATTTTTTTTTTTAAGCCACAGAAAATACTTTCAGAGAAATTTACTTCTCAATAACAAATTCTATTGGCAAATCTTATTTAACTAACAATAAGACTCATTTTTACCATCTCTTGATAAATTTATCTGATAGATAAATCCAATTCTTAGCCAATGAGACCGCTTAAAAAAGCTATAACCATGGCAACTATCCCCTAGATAGTTTATCAGGAAGATGGTAAAAGTGGGCCTAAAAGATGTGAAATTTTAATTGACCAGAGTCTCGAACCTTAAAATTAACGTTGAACCTAATCTATTTAATATTAGCGATGGATATAACTAGCAAATCTCAGACTTTTGCCAAAAAAGAGTTCAGGTATCATATCCAGACCATCATATTCCTTTTTTATAGAAGCCGAGTAGAAGCACATTTATCTGGTTTGGAAATCATCATGGGTATCTAACGAGATGGCTAGATATGCACTGCAGATGAAAGGTTCTTCTCATTATTTCAACCACAAGGACGACATGTACCATATGTACCGATATGTATCATTTTATAATGGGGGTTGAAGAGAATTTGATATCTCATCTTAGAATAATGAAAATAAATATCTGCCAAACGGAGCAAAAAGTGTGAGATTGTATGATTGTCATACATTGGGATACACCTCTGATTGGTATCCTAGCGTTTAGTAACTCCTTAGACTAACTAACAACGGTAAGCAGAGCGGGAAGGAAAGCGGCACAGATAAACTACTCACAACATATTAAGTAGATTTTAGGAATCAGTACTTCTGCTTTTTTCACCATTTTGCTCGCCACCCCAGAAGTTCTGCAAAGACAATATCACACCTATCTTTTTTATAACTGGGTTTGGAGAATATGAGACAGCATCAAGTGATAACCTCCCAGTTAGTCTGGTGTTTAGCTAAATACCTAATTTGGATTTACTGTGTATGTCTTACTAATGTCTAAAATTTAGTTTGCTATTTCTGTCATCTAAATATCATTAGTATCGACATGAATAACCAGAAAGTATTCTGCACTTGCAAAAAGACTTAAATAATGCATAAATAATTATTTGTACATGTAAAAAGAGAGGTTCAAATGGAGTAGGGATGCGATTATAAGAAGCGAATCCTGTTGGCCTATCCTTAGCCTCTTGTCCCTAATTCTGATTCTCACCTCCAAGTTGGTGATAAAAACCTGAGCAACCCTACGGAAGACTGTGGTAACCAATCCCAGTGGGAACCAGGGTCAAGGCTAACGAAATCAAGAGAAATTACTGTTCGAAAAGGTAATTGGCAATAGGGGGCAACAACGGAATAATGGCATAACGTGGCTTGCTTTCATTTTGCGCATCTCGCGTGCCTTTTCTGACATCGGTGTGTACAAGTCCCTGTTTTTGACCTTTGTATTGTCCAAATTGGAATATGGCTCTGTAATTTGGTCACCACAATATGTGTGTCATAGACTTATATTGGAAAGAATTCAGAGGAGATTTCCCAAATATTTGTCTACCTATCCCTGCTGCAACGTCATAACTTTTCTGCACTGGACGTGAGAAGGGATGACCAGTGTATCAAGTTTTTACAGAAGTTGGTGCAAGGTGTGGTTGGTTGTTGTCGCGGATCATCTTTGCAGTGCCTACGCGTACAACACATAGTATGAGTTTTACAATTAGTTTTATCTGAGGAATTGCAGATCCAATATTTTAGCCAACTCCCAATAACTAACAATAACGGTGTAGGAGTGTTTATGTGAGTTATATTTGTTTTATAGCATGTGCTATTTCTTTTGTTTTCTTGTGATATTGTCCTGTAATTGATCGTTGTTGGGCAATAAAGTGAATTATTATTATAACGTTGTGTTCCTGGAACGTGAGAGCTCTGTATCGGAGCAGAGCTGTCTAAACGTTAAGAGATATTCTTGCAAAGTACAATGCTAGGATAACCGGCATCTAAGAAGTTTAATGTGTATGCCCTCATCAAGGAAAAAACATGGACGAAAAAGGTGTTTTTTACAAAGAAGTAGAAGCGCCATATGATGCAGCCTCAAACCATGACATAAATGTCACAATTGGCGACTTCAACGCAAAACTAGAAAGAGAACAACAGGAAGAGATACAGCAATAACAACTTAGGGTTCGAAAGAAAAGACATACATAAAAGAACCTGGGTATACCCCGATAAACACTTCCAAGCAAATAGACCACTTGAAATAGAACCTATTGCAAACATTGATTTGGGCCATTTCCTGTCAAGATCGAGGAGAACATTGAATGCGAAAAAATTAAAAGGAGAAAAGAATATGCAAAGTCAACGCTAACTGCTGTAGGATGGGAACAAGGTAAACCAATTTTAGTACCAGCTAGCGACAAACCTAGCACCAACCTAGCCCAAGCATAACAGGTGAGAAAAACGAGAGAAATGTAGGACAGCTCTCTTAAGAACTGGTTCGGAAGTTATAGGGCCACGTAAACAAATGGAAAAGAAGGTTGGTTTGATATCGACTGTGATAGAGCAACAATGCTGAAAAACAGCGACAATAACTAAATGGTTTCGAGGACAAGAGAGGAAATGTCGAAGAATGCAGAAAGGCAAGAAAGTAAGACAAGAGGATTGGCAGAACGAAGAAGGGAAAGGCAAGAAAAGCATACAATTACTAAACGAGAGAAAATTTTTTACGATTTTCAAAGGAACGTAAGAACGAAACATTGCAATAATTAACTGAAATTGAAGTCATGCCATTGCAATGAGCGGGCCATGTGGAACGAGCAGCAGATACATATGTTTCAAGAAAGATTGTGCATGCCAAATCTGGTGCTGGTGGCTATTTCTATGGCGGCTGAGGAAATTTCCAAGAAAATGAGCAACAAAAAAATTATAATATATGCCATAAGCCATAATAGACTGCCATAACAAGCTTTGTTAGGCAGCCACTAGCAATGAGATTACGATCTGCTGGACAAAGGGTCATTCAGGAAATAAGCTTCATAACATGGTGGACAAACTGGAAAGAAAACCTGCAGGCGAACCTCCGGGATCGCCAGAACCATTCATCGCCCCAACAATAAGGTCTTTAATAGGGCTTCAAAAAAAGGAAACAGCTAAGAAATTTCGAACTTACTGGGACAGGACACCACAGGATGTCGCCAAGCCAAGGAGGCTCTGATGTACCCCGACCCTAAACGAATAAATTTATTTATGAGGCTATCCAGCATTTACTGAACATGGGAATAAGTGACACCGACATGTGCAGAGAATGCGGTGAGGAGGAGGAATTGGCGAAACACTTTCTATGCGACTGCGTGGCGCTCCAAACATTAAGGTTATCCATTTTTAGAGATATCTTTGGTGATGATACGTTGAGATTTGGAATCGTGATAAGTTTTGAGGTTCCAAGACTAACTTTGCATTTAAAAAGTTTGTGATTACACTTCATTAAGTTCAAGAATCAATTAGACGCTACATTGTGGTTCCAGACTAAATTGGCCAGATTATAAGTAATGTTTGAAATGATATTGTATAGAATTCAGAATCCAAAAAAGACTGGGCATAATAACTCTGCTCAAAATCACACGTTGCAGATTCTAAGAAAAAGTCTGAAATTACACTCCATCGATTCCAATTTGTAAGACTTCGTTTAGACATTACATTCAAAATTAAGGTCAGTTAAGGTTAATCGATTAGAAAGACCGTCTTTCAAAAAATCGATAATCTAAATTAAATTCAACGGATTAGTAATGTTTTCACGTTCGAAAATTGTTTAATTTTTGTAATAATTAATGTAAAAATTTAAAATTCCCGACGCCAGATGACGTTTTAAGTAAGAAGAAAGAAATCACAGACGTTCTATGTTTTGTAGTTAGTTACTCTTTTCTTTTCTCCAATCGTACGCTCAAATCTGAGTGACGTACTTTGGAGTTCGCGCCCTGTAGTTTCAAACTTTATCATTTTTTTTTGGAAAAACTAAGCCTCAGAATCAAAATTTCAATTTTAAAAAACTTTCGAATAAGCCTTAAAATACTTAACTTGAATTGCACATAATATAATCGGATTGTAAATGTAAATGATTTAAAGCTCTGATTTTAAAATTTGCATTCCCCATAAAAAAAAGATTTTCAAAGAAGGATTTATATGATTAAGTTAACTTTATTTCTTATATTATAAACATCATAACCTTGTGATTATGTTTAAGTATGTCTGTAAGCTAAACGCGTGAGCCTTCTTAATAGGCGGCGTTTGTCCCTCTCGTCGCGCCGGTCTGGTGACGCTTATAGTTAAGTTCGTTTTCGTTTTATTTCAGGAGCGTCGTAAAATTTGTTTACCGAAACGTATACGAAAGTCATAAAAAAGTAAACGTCGACGAAGCAGCAACAGCAGCAGCGCCCAAAACGAAGCGCAAGACAAACAAAGCCCTGAAATCAAACGCTTCTCCTCCTACCAAAAGCACTTATTTGCGCAACTAAATAACGTAACGAAAAAAAAAAAATAATAATGAAAAGCTAACAAAAGCGGATAATGCCAATGCGAGTCGCGTGGAGCAGGTGGTTTGCTCCCACATGTTCAAGATAAGCAGTTTCTAACTCTCTCGTACACCACATCGTTCATATATCTACAAAAATATTATCTTATCGGCCAGATTTACTTTTCGTAAACGTTTATTACACATTTACGTTTGTTCATCGATTAGGTGGTTTCAAATTTGGAAACAAGGGAAGTTAAAATAAAAATAAAAATCTTAAAAATAAATTCTTAATAAGTTTTAAAACGAAACGTAAAAATCTCGTCTTAATGTGTTACATTATTACGTGTGCAGCCTTCTTGTCCATATAAAATGACTGAGTGTTGATAAGGTTTGGTTCAACGGACGCCAAGACCAGGCCTTTTACATTAATCACATAAGACAGCCTACGTAATTGGTGAAGTCTGCTGCCGCTTGATGCCTGGGCTCGGCAAGATCGAGACTACTACTACTAGAGATGGTGCAAAA